CCAAAAGAATTAATAGAAATTGATCTCAAACAATAAAATAATTTGGTAATGTAGTGGCTTATAATATTAACCTTCAAAAATCAATAGTCTTCATAATAGAAACAAAAACCAATTGCAAAATATAATAGAGGAGAGGATTCCTTTTATGATATTAAAAAAAAGAACATAAGTGCCAAGGTAAAACTTGACTAGAAGTATCCAAAACCTATATGAGGAAAATACACCTGAAAGTTACAAAACTCAGCAAATGGAAAAATGTGCCCTGTTTTTGGATAGAAAACTCAACACTATAGAAAATATCTGTTTTCTCTATTTTAATTTATAAATTTATGAAATGCCCAATAAGAATATCGTTGGATTCGCCCCCTAGAGCTAGACAAGTCAATTGTAAAATTTATGTGAAAGAACAAACAAGCAAGTATTGCTAAAAGCCTGAAAGAGAAGAGCAACTGGGCGAGAACAGGAGGGGTTGCAGTTACCAAATGTCACAACAAACCATAAACCCTGTATAACTAGGACAACTTGGTATTGACTCATGAATAGACAGATAGACTAATGGGGCAAAGTAGAAAAGTGAGAAGTAGACTACACTGCATATGGAAATTGAGTATACAGTAAAGACAGCATCTCAAATCAGAGGAAAAGATGTATTTTTTTTTTAAAGATTGGCAACTGAGCTAACATCTGTTGCCAATCTTCTAATCTTCTTTTTTTTTTTCCCTTCTCCCCAAAGTCCCCCAGTACATAGTTGTATATTCTAGTCGTGAGTGCCTCTGGTTGTGTTACGTGGGACGCCGCCTCAGCATGGCCTGATGGGTGGTGCCATGTCCGCGCCCAGGATCCAAACCAGTGAAACCCTGGGCCGCCACAGCAGAGCCCACGAACTTAACTATGTGGACACAGGGCTGCCCCCGAAAAGGTGCATTTTTAAAAATAAATATTTTTAATAATAGAAAGTAGACTGTGTTTAGTTACATAAAGATTAGCACAGTTAAGAAAATTCAGCATAATGTTTGTCAACGGAAGTCAGCTGACAAACTATTCAAACATTATTCTTTGCTTTCTAGTTCTGGATGAGTGTCATAGATTATGGTTCCATTGTGTTTCACTTTGAACTAGAGCTGTAAACTTTTTAATAAGTGAAATTGAGATGCTGCGTAGCCAGTGTCGTGCTGGTAAATGTTTGACACACATGTTAAACACATGTGTATGTGTGTGTATATATGTATATTATAAATTTTACTGATATAAAGGATGTTTAGCAAGCAACTTACAAATAGTAATAAAACATAGAATACTCTCTATTGTAAACTCTGTATAGTTAATTGGTTCTCACAGGATGCTTTCCTTGATTTTTGCCAAACTCTTGTCCATAACCAACCTATGGTTTCAATTGATGAGTGTAATTCTCACATGAATGTAGGTACTTATTCTCATTTACATTAATGAATAATGTGGAAGTGAAATGACAAAGATGTATGTTGAATCCTGACTTGTCAATCAGGTGAATAACTTCTTTGCTGAATTGGATAATAGTTTTTAAGTATTGGAAGATTATTTCTCAATTTTTTGTGCTGGTCACAATGTAACAGCTACAGATATGATACACTTTTAAGATTAACCTACATTGCTAACATTTTCTCCATCATTTTCTTAAATCTAGATCAGGGGTTGACAAAATTTCTGTAAGAGCCAGACAGGAAATACTTTAGGTTTTGGGGGCCATATGGTATCTGTTGCAACTATTTAACTCTGCCATTATAGCACGAAAGCAGCCATAGACAATATGTAAACAAATTGGTGTGGCTGTGTTCCAGTAAATTTTTATTTATAAAAACAAGTGGTGGGCTGGATTTGGCCTACTGGCCATAGTGACTGCAGTTCTACACAGTCAACAAAACAATAAATTTAGCCCTGATTTTAGCATTGCCAATTTCTGTGGTGGGAATGCTCCCACCACAGCCAATTTCACGCTAGTAGTATAATGTTTAATACACAGGTGAGAAGAGATGTACAGCAGCATACCATTCTACAGAATCTCTACCATACAGATACTATAGACATAAATAACCTCAAGAGCCTTGATAGTAGTAAAATATATTAAAATAATTACAAAGTGATGAGTTTTGAATATTTATTAGCTTTGCTTTTAACATGGTTTTTCTCACTGAAAGTTTATATAATCTATTTTGTAATAATCGCTGTGTTTAACAATCAGCTCACAAAATTCCTGAAAATTTAAGAATTAGCTCTTCTGAGCTGGCATAAGCCAGCTCCAGCACACCATGTGTAGCCATATGGGAATAGAGAAAATTGGATCCATTATTTGTAGCATATACCAGAATAGATTCCAAATGGATCAGAGACATAAATGTAAAAATAAAATGGAACCATGCAAGTACTAGGGAAGATGTAAATGAATTCCCCTATAAGCTAGGGGTGGGGAAAACTTTCTAAACTATGGCTTAAAATTGAGAATCATTAAGGGAAATGAGATTATATTAGTTTCATAAAATGAACTGAGAATTATTCTTTCCTTTTGCATTTTCTGGAACAGATTATATAATACGGGAATTGTGGTTTTGGAAGTTTGATAGAGTCCATTTTAAAAGCATCTGGGTCTAGAGATCTTTGGGATTGAGTTTTAACTACTAATTAAATTTCTTTAATCCTTGTGAGTCTATTTTAAATCCCCTTTTTCTTTGTGTGCCAGTTTGGCATTTTATATATTTTCCAGGAATTTATCCATTTTATCTGTTTGTTTTTTAAATCTGTAATTATTTCCCATCTTCATTTTCTGATCCATGTTTTATTTATTTTTGTCATCTCCTTTTTTTCTTATCAGTTTTATCAGAGGTTTATCTTGATAACCTTTTCGGAAACAGAGCTTTTAGTCTTACTAATCTCCTCTACTTGAAAAAATTATTATATTGTTTCTTTTCCTTTATTATATCCTTTTTCTTCTTTGGGTTCACTTTGATGTTCTTTTTTATAACTTCTTGAGTTGGATGCTGAGAATATTCCTTTTCAACTTTTATTGTTTCCTGATACACATTTAAAGGTATATAAACGCTCTTCTAAATACTGCTATAGTTATGTCCTATACATTTTGGGTTTTCATGTTCATTCAGTTCTAGATATTTCTTCATTTTGATTATAATTTCATTTTTAACCTATGAGTTATTTGGTAATATGATATTTTCAAAATGTGAAACATTTAAAAGGTTTTCCTTTGATTAATTTCTAATATCATTTCATTATGTTTGGAGGGTATAATCTGTAAGCTGTTGTTCCTGGTGAGTTTATTGACACTTCCTGTAGACCTAAAATATTCATGTAAATATATGCCTGCTTCTAAAAAATGTATATTTGCTACTTGCATGAACTATTATAGTATATATATCAAAAGATATATATTATACACAGCATGCCATTAGGACATACCTATCAAAGATCTGAACAATATAATTAATAGTATAAGCCTTCCAGTTATAGTGTTTAGATAAAAATCTGCTGAATTTTTGTTTACTTAATACATTTCTGATAGTTGGGTGTTAAAAACCCTAACTATGTATATGTTTCTCTCTGTATGCTGTCAGTTATTATAACCTAATATTAGTTCATATATGTTTGTGATAGTTACATCTTCTCACTCTGTTTTGTTTACCTTTTACCTTAAATTCTATTTTGTCAGCTATTATGATTACTATTTGTGTGTGTATGTGTGTGTGTGTGTTTTGTCTTGCACTCTTTTATTTTCAACCTTTTTTGTATCTTTTGGTTTTAAGAATGTTTCTCAGAGACAACATATTTTTGATTTTGTTTTTATTTCTTAATACCGTCAGAGAGTATTTGTCTTTTTATTTGTGAATTAACATCGTTTGCATTTTCTGTAATTGCCATTATATTAGAAGTTATTTCTCCCTGTATTTTCAATGTACTGCATTTTCTTTTTGTTTTCTGCTGGCTAAAAAAATTATTCTATTTTTGTTCAAGTGTGGCTTTCCTTAAGACCCTTTCCCTGTTTACTTATTCCTATTAATATCTTAAACTTATCAATATCTGTATATTCCTCCTAACTAGACAAATAATTTAATGAACTCATTTGTGTATATATATATTATTGTTATTGTGTGTGTACGCGCGCGCACACACACACACACACGTATATCCTAATGGTTCTGCTTCTCTGATTGAACTCTATTACACCCAGATACAGAAAGAGAGAAAAAAATGAAAAGGAGATAAGGAAAACTCTAAACCTAGAAACATCAGAATAAAACAAGAACATCAAAGACAAGGAAAGAATTTAAAAACCTTCCAGAGATAATGGAGAGATCATCAACTGGAGGAAGTTGAACAGTGGGCGCAGATGACAAATAGGAAAATTGCTTTTTAAATATTAAAGGAAAATAAATTTGAACCTAGAATTTTATATCCAGCCAAATTGTCTTCCAAATATAATGACTTAAAAAATACATATATGTGTGTACATATATATATACACACACACACACGTATGTATTTCAGGTAAGACTGAGAATGAAGTTATAATAAAAATATGTGTTGGAAGCAATATTCAATATTCAAGAAATATGGTAAAGGTGATGAAATTTCTTGGTAGAGTTTGTGTTTTTATTAAGGACTGAAGTGAGAAAAAGAACAAATTTATAAATGTATCCAAAACAACCTAGAACTAAAATTTGAGATAATATCAATATCACGGGCGTGCGGAAGGGGAATACATACGTGGCAGGGATTTGACCTTGGGGAACTGTGAGAGCTGGTTAAGCAGTCTCTGTGAGGCCATGGTCTTTATTTCCAACCCTGGAGCTTTAAAACTACAGAACAGGCAGTTGGAAAGGGAAGATGGAAGTAAAAGGGGGCATGGTGAGAAGACAAGCTGGAACCCACAAGCACAAGCTGGAGCTTGTGAAGACAGACCAAAACTCATGTTAGTTCTTGTTGCCTCTAACCTTGATTATATGTGTTTCTTGCAGAAACTGGAGCCTTTCACCACAATTACCAAACCCACACCTGGTCCAGGAGTCAGAGCAGCTTAGCGAGGATCTACAGAAGATGGAGCAGTTGGATGTTCCACTGCTGCTTCACACCAATGAGGGGAGCTGGCAGGTAAGTGACAACACCCTCAAACCTTTCACAGGGATCTTGCTTATGGCCCACCCTAACTGGAAATGTACAGGAAAATGAATTTGGGGAAACGTAGTTCAGCCTAGCTAAGCTGACACAGCACAAAGCCACTGCTCACAGGTGTTAGCACTTTTCCTTCCACCCTCCACATCTCCTAGCTTTCTTTTGTATTTTCTCTCTTCACCCTTTCCTGCTGACTTCCAGGAAAGTTTCTCAGTCTGATCTTCCAACTCGCTGATTTATTCATCCTTTATCCATCTTTCTATATATCCTTTCTATTGTTTCGTTCACTTCCGCTATTACATATTTCATACATAATACTCAATTTGATTCATTTTATGTTTTCTTGTTGTTGCTTCATCTTGCTGAATCGGCCTTAACCTCTTAAGATATTCATCATCATTATTTTAATTTCTTGGTCCATCTCTTCTCATAATTCTAATTTAGATGGTTTATATTGTTGAGTTTGTTGTCTTTCTTATATAGTAGTTGTATTCCTTATATGGATTTCCCGTTATTTTGTCCCAAGAACTCTTCCTCCCCTTGGAATATCAGTTACTACACATGTTTCTGTGTTGAGAAAGGGCTATATCCCAGTCACCAGTTGACGTACCTGCAGGTGAATTAAGGTCAGGGAAGAGAACCTCAGGGCCCACAGAACTGATGGTAATCATTCCAATTTGCCCACCATCCACAAGTAACTTCTCTAGTGTGCATTTCCCATTTGAACTCTCTAGAAGCTGTCTCCATAAATTTACTCCCCTTGCCCTGGGGTTTGGAGTGGGAGGGGTACAGCGGTGAATACCCAAGGGTAACTGGTTGGTACACATCCACCCGTTCATCCCTTCTTACTCCCGCAGGGCTTTTGCACATCTCTTGTTGTACCCTCCTGATCCTGCAGCCGTGGCTGTTGCTGCCAACAACTGTGATTGGCAGACTGTGATTGTCCATGTGGGGGAGAAGCCAGAGCAGAACAGAAAGTTGTTCTCCTTTCTCCTCTCTTCTCATGGTCACCTCTGGTTGCCTCCCTCCCAGGCTGAAGCCCGTCTCTTCTTTCCCTCCCCTTCTCGGCTCCCTCCTCTCCCCCTGCCCCCATATAACAATTCCTGAGATTTCAGACTCCCTGGGGAATTCTCACAGTGTTTTATTTTATTTTATTTGTTGTTATTAGTTCCTCAAATCCACGTTTCCCTCTGGCTTCTATAGTTTCTCTAGGGTTGATTTTCAGGAAGGAGCCAGTGGCCAATGTAGTTTGTCATCTTGACAGGATGAGAGAATGGTTTATAGAATGAGCAGGTGTACCACAGAAAGGGGGGGATTTGAGGCAGCAGATATATGAGTCTTAAGAAAGAAGCTAAAAATGTACACCAACAGATGCTTTTTTTCTACATTTGACTTTTTAATTTTAACTAATATGTGTGTATATATATGTATAAGTGTGTATATGTATATATATATATATGACTTTAAAGTGAGATGATGCTGTCAGGCTTATAATGAAAACAGCAGTCTTCACCCCTTCCTACTCCAAAAATCTACTCCCTCAAAGCAACAATTTTTGATATTTTAAAAAAACTTTCTTCTAATGTTTACTTCCACATTCTAAGTAAGATGCTTATATTACTATTTCTTACTTTTAAATGTTACATATTATCTTTGGCTTCCTAAAGTAGAAAATGAGGACTTAGTGCTTGTATCCTGCTGTATTTTCCCTTCCAACACGTTCTCTTCTCCTTAGTCTAGCCTCCCAATATAGTTGCATCACTGCTTCCAATACTGAGTAGCAATATTGAGTGTTTACACTATCATGCCCACGCAAATGCTATTCATACCTGAGACATGTAGCGTGCTAAGATTATGTTTCCTTTCTTATATAGCTTTTTGTTTTCTTAGGGTTAATAGTTGCCTTTCTCCCCAGTTGTTCAGTGCTCTCTGTGCCTATCATAATTCTCTGGATACTTTCAGTAGAGTTGAAAACGAGGTAATCTATCTGATTCTTCCCCTGCCCCATTCCCATCCCTTCTGTGTGAGCTCTGCCCTCCTGCTCCACTGGAATCTGTTTAGACTTTCCCTTCGTCGGCATCTTGGGAACTTCCTTTGCCTGCCTCCCTGTGTTAGATCTCCCATTTCCTAATTTTGTATCTCGCTCTTGCTGGATTCATTCCCTTGAAAAAACCTAGTATCTTCTGGTTGCTTCGTAAGAAACGGTCTACAAGAGGTAAAAGTTCAAGTCTGCCTGTAGTGATCGTTTGTCATTCAGGCTGTCCCAAATTTTTGAACACCCACTTCCCATCATTTAACAGTTTCCCATATGATAAATTCCTCATTCTTAACAAAGAAATTTTTCAGGTTGTTTTCTGTTGTTAGATTGCAGACATGTGGTTTTGATTCCACCAGTCAGCTGCATCTGTTCCAGAGTCAGAATCTGGATCCAGAGCTGAATTACTTGGGAAGGAGTCAGGGCCTGAGGCTTCCACTTGGCAGGTGCAGATCTGGGTGAGGCAGCACAGCAGGGTCCTGGAGTCCAAAGTGTGACTGCAGCACCTGATTCCGCACCTCCTGATGATGGCAGAGGCAGAGGCAGAGGTTGGAACTGGCACCTGTGACAGCAGCCTGCTGGCTTGGCGGTTTCCACTGGCTCGACGGGCAGCTCTGTGCTGCGGTGCTGGGGTGTCACTCCTAAAAGCACAGTCCGCTTTTCCTCCCTCACTCTGTGAACTCTCTCCATCTCATAACTAGTCCTGTCGGCTTAAACTGGTGTCTTCGTCTGTTCAAGTTGCTATCATAGAATACCACAAACTGGGTGACTTAAAACCACCAAAATTTCTCACAGTTCCGGAGGCCAGAAGTCTAAGATCAGGCTGCCAGCACGGTCAAGTTCTGGTGAAGGCCCTCTTCTGGGTTGCAGATTGTGGACGTCTCCTGTGTCCTCACACGGCGGAAGGGGCAAGGGAGATTTCTTGGGTCTCCTTTTAAGAGCGTTAATCTCATTCATAACGGCTCCGCCCTCACGCCCTAATCACCTCCCACAGTCCCCCTTCTCCTAACACCTCACACTGAGCATTAGATGAATTTGGGGGGGACACAAACATTCAGACCACAGCAACTGACTAGAGAAACTTTTGCTGTTTTAAGCTAACCTGGTCAATATGCCTTGTATACCTAAAGATGCCTTGATTCTACTGCAAGACATAAGAGTTTGATTGAGAATAGAATTTGAATTCAGAAACCATTTTCCTCAAAAATGAGAAAGCATTTCTCCATTGCCTCTGGCTTCTAGTGTTATTGTTGAGAAGTCTGAGCTGTTCTTTTTCCTGAATCTGTATGTGATCTACTTCTTCTTGCCAAAGTTTTTTTGTTTTATCTCAAAGTAGTATTTATTCTTAATTTTTTTGTTTTTATATTATAAAATCTACAAATAGTCATATTTTAAAGAGTCAAGAGTTCTATATTTTGTCTTATGAAACACAACTGCTTCCTGACTTTGTTCCCCATTTCCTTACCATTAGAAGCAACCACTTTCATGACTGGTACATATGGATATATAATTAAATGCAATTTTAGCACTCACGAAATGAATCCCAGGAAGTATTTCAAAATCCTCACGTTTGGCTGTTATTCACCTTTTCAAGAAAGCATTATACATAAAAGTGGATGACTGCCTTGTGCCTAATCAGACTTTAGGCTGTAGGGGTTAGAGATCTGGTAATAGCAGTTGTTGGTGAGTTTTTGCTCCCTTCTCACTCACTTGGTGGTAGAATCTGAGCCTGGGCTGAAGTTTGAAAGTAGAAGGGGCCTCTAGTTCTAGGGGGTGACAAGCAAGAGGTCAGGTGGTTTTGGGGTCCATGAGGTTCCTGGCACCAGCATCCAGGATGGGGCTCCTGACATGTGGAAAAGGCCAGGTAGTGAAATCTAAAGAGCTGCAGTAAGGAGCTCAGGAAGGTTGGTGTGGAGCTTCTTGGCTGAGCTGAGTGCTCAGAGATTGGACTCTCCCTCCATGGAACTTAGAAGCACCGCTATAGCCTGGGCAGGGGGTGTACTGGCAGAGGCCAGCCTCAGCTCATCACTTTGGATCCTATTTAAGGACCAGCAGAAACGGCAGCATCAGGCAGAGGAAGCCTCTTGAGGCTGTTTACGCTTCAGCTGCAGCTTCATCTGCCTTTGGTGTACCTGCTCATTCTAAGCCAACCAGCTTCAGTAACTGCCATTAATTTCGCCAGCTTTAAGGGAGTACATCTGGCTCCAAAGTAGCAAAGTAGTGAGATGGAAACCAGCAGGATTCCCTTCTGAGACTGTTTAGCATCCTGGCATTTCTACATGTGTGGAAGGGCAAGGGAATCCAAGAGAGAAACTGATTTCTTACTAATATGGACATTGGGGTCTCCAGTGTGGCATCAGGGACCCTCGTCGGGCAAGGCTGGTTGTTATTCAAGAAACAACCCGTGAAATAAGATATACTGGTTACATATATTATATTTCACTAATATTGTCTCTCAACTTCTCCTGATACTAATCATCTCTGGTTACTGTTGTTATGGACTGAATGTTTGTGTCCCCCCAAATTCATATATTGAAATCCTAACCCCTAATGTGACAGTGTTAGGGGCTGAGGCCTTTGGGAGGTGATTGGGTCATGAGGTTGAAACCCTCATGAATAGGATTAGCGCCTTTGTAAAAGAGACCTGAGAGAGCTCTTGTCCCTTCTGCCGTGTGAGGACGCAGCAAAAAGACGACCATCTGTGAACCCAGGAAGCAGCTGTCACCTGACACCCAGTCTGTAGGCACCTTGATTTTGGACTTCCCAGCCTCCAGAATTGTGAGAAATAAGTGTTTGTTGTGTAAGCCACCCAGTCTATGATATTTTTGTTATAGTAGCCTGAATGGACTAAGACCCCTGTGATTTACTTTTTTTAGCACTTGAGGATGAGAGGTTAGGGAGAGAAAGGAGTTCAAACTGGGAGGGTCTGGACCTGACATGATTT